AATTAAAAAACTATACCTGCTGGCCTGAAACTTGTGCTTCTAACGCTGAGAAGGCAGAAAATGCAGTAGATTATATCTCAAATGAAATGATGCCTATCTGCATATCAAATAGATAATAAAATGCGAGATGGTAAGTTAGTAGATATAAAAATAGGGAGAAAAACTTGTTAATTTTACAATGAGAGCAGTTGCTATCATTTACCTTAAAAAATAAGAGGCAATGAAGAGAACAAGGCAGGGAAAGTGGAATGATAACTAGAACAGCAGTTTTCAATTTTGCAGTAAAAGCAGTTGATTTGCTGAGATAGGTTTCTGCACCTGTTAATTTTCGTCACCTAGATGACTCTAAGCCATGAACGAAAGGATAACAATATTGTTATAGCTTCTCTACAAATAGCTCCTAAGCACGTACTATCCGGTTAGTTATACTTCCAAGATCAATTTTTATTACATATATATTAAAGTAGAAACCAAAATGCAGTAAGCAGATAACCAACATCTAGAATTTAATCCTATGGAAGCGGAAGAGTAAAATCCAAGACAAAAAATATGTTAGAAAATAGTTTGTTAAATCATTTATTCAATAAAAAATTGAAAGAAAAAAAAGTACCTTGTTTTAAATGACTGTACTTTCTCAGAATGACTTATTAGAATGAGAAAAGCAAGAATATGCCTGACGAAAGGTTTCTTCACAGATTACTCAGGTGTACTTTCTACCTACATAAAATATTTTCATTACATACAGAGTAGAAACCAAAATGCAACAAAGTAAAAAATAAGAATAGCTAGAATCCTTTGGAAGAGGTGGGAGAATATTGTTCAAAGAAAAAACCATGTTAATTACTAAAATGATAAAAAAAAATTAAAGCTTTTGACTTTTCAGAGAAGAAAAATGAATGTGAAGAAGGCAGGGATAGAAAGTACTAGTAGTAGTAGCATACATATAGATACATACACATACAGGTGCGTGCACGTATGTGTATATATTCACACGTTTATTGCAACTAAAAAAAAAAACACCGAAGATATTGTTATGTGGAAATTCAGTGCTTGCAAAATATAAATCAACTGTACAAATTAATTGAAAAAAGAAAATGTACCTTCCTTGAATGACTAGTGCTTTCCCCAAATCACCTTAGAATGAAGCAGAAGCCACCTTAGAATGAAGCAGAAGGGGAGGCACCTAGGCTTTTTTTTTTTTCAGTGCCCAGCGAAACGCTTCTCCACAGATTGCTCACAAGTTTCTAGCTACGTGGAAGATTTTCATTACACGTAAAGTAGATTTCAAATTAATAGAGATGATAACTAGCAAAAGCATAAAAAGAAAAAGAAATAAAGGTTATAAATATATAGGAATTAAATTAAAATTTATACCTGCTGGCGTGAAACTACTACTTCTGAGCAACAGAAAAATGTAGTAGATTTTACCAAAATAATGCAATAATCTGCAGAAATTAAATACAATACAAGATGAAACGTTAGCAGATAAAATCAGAAAGGCTAAAAAAGAAAAAAGTTAAGAAAAATGATAATCCAAACATTTGTAAAGTCACATGATCATGAACGTTTTGAGTTACCTTGGAAACTATGGGGGCAATGAAGAGAGGAATGCAAGGAAAGCAGAAATGAGACTGGGACAACAGTTGTTAATTCTGCAGCGAAACCAATTTGTTGGTTATGTTCGGAGTTTTAACAGGATATTGTAATTATTAGCAGCTTCAAAAGGAATGAATGTAATAACATAAATGAATTTTATACAAAAGTTAATTGTTGGTATAAAATGTACCTTGCTTAAGTGACTTTGAACGAC